TCTCTCTCTCTCCCCTCTCTATCTCTCTCTCTATCTCTCTCTCTCTATCTCTCTCTCTCTTCTTTGGTTACACACTACAGTTACATTAAACATACATTATGACGTCACATTAATAATGACGTCATTGTAATATTCATATTAAACATACATTATGCAAGAGCTAAATCTGCCTATTGCAAGTCTTTCTTTAGACCTGAAATGTTATCTAAATTATTAATTAGACATTTTTATTAACTTATCCAGGTCATAATCAACTCTCGATAGCATCCGATTTCTCCAATATTAAATAGATTAGAACGGTTTAGTCATATTTTGATTTAATCTAAAAATGGAGAAGCGAGACTTAGCTTCGAAAAACCAGTACGGTGGTTGAAAGTATTCCACGCGTCTTGTTAAACCTTCAAAGGGTAATATCGTCGCTCGCAATAGAGTAATTTGAATTAAATTTTCAAATTATTCGTTCATCTACTTTCGAACTATTACAGGAAGAATGGCTAGCTCTTTATCTAAATCTTACATAATGACGTATCTTTAACTATTAAAAAATAAACAGATTAACTGGCAAACATAACAGGATAAAAACATGTGTTAATTAGTGAGGCATGAATAGACTAAACTATTAAACTATCCAACCGATTCGTGGTTTTAACCTCGCGTTGTCAATACAATCGATATCATTCACTCCCTACAGGAAATTACTCAGGAAAAATTAACTCGCGTTTTTTGTATCTTGGAAGTTATAAGTTCATTGGTTTCAAGTCAAGAAAATCGGTTGGAATGAAAAACTGTTAAACATTACTCTTGATTCGTTTTTTCTGCCTACAAATCAAATTGTGTGTTATTTTAACGTTAACAATCGTCACAGGGGGATGCAGGAATACGTTAAAAGAGAAAACAATTGGTTTTATACAATCTAGATATGAATTATTGGTCGGCAATTCGAATTATATAGAATAAAATAACCTCATTATTCTTGAATAAAAAACACATTTAGACTTTTAAATCAAACACAATAAGAAGTAATTTTGCACGTAGAGGGAGGAAACCGAGGGACCTCGAAAAAACCCACGAGATTGGCAGCCGACCCCTATAAGCTTGGGGCGGGGTCACGGTGGCTAAGTGGGTAAAACGCTGGCTCGCTAGCCTGGATGTCGGGTGTTCGATCCCTGCACTGGCCAGATTTTGTTTCGTAAAAATACCCTTGACAGTTGGAATTCGATATAAGAGTAGGCTGTAGTGCCAATCACCGGGAAAAATTTCCCTCATAGCACACTGTATGGCGTATGCCTGTATTAGCCCAGTTCGGAGCAGAACAGTGGGACGTTAAACCCCCACTTCATTTCATTTCTGGGGGTTGGATGGCCAAATGGTTAGCACGTGCGCGCTGTATCATATGGTCTGTTTTTGAGTCAACTGGGGTGGTTTCGATACCCCGGTTGTACGTGACAAGGAGTAGGGTCGCCTGTCCAACCGCGTGGGTTTCCTCCGGGTCCTCTGGTTTCCTCCCACTGCTAAAGACCCCTACGCGCAAGCGAATTATTGAAATAAAATTAAACCATATGTTAGTCCCGAAATGACCTAGTTTGTGTCGAGTGGACGTTAAACCCCATTTCTCTCTCTCTCTCATTTCTACAAGGTTGGTATATAAACCACGCCATCTGACCCAGTGCCCTCCGTCCGGCCCCACTTTCTACTTATCTATCACCGGGATCTTACCCCCGAATCAATGAGTTACTGACTGTTCCACTATGGCCCCAGATCCATATTATGAATATGTCTTCGGTTACACATACTCGAAAGAAAACGACCTAATAACTATTATTTTCAGTTAGCGAGACTAAATCACATATTTCTGGTGTATGAGTGAATATTTCCATATCTCGTCTGTATCTTAATACGATGATTTATTGTGAATATTACCCGGATATTACGATTAATACGTTTATTGTCCATGGGGTTATCGAATGTCTGCTCCTGTGTTTTGGTGAATTTGAAATCATCGCTGATTATTTACATCAAGTTATTCTCAAAGAAACCATCTTTGGTAGACCAGAGATAGTTATTTTGCCAATAATCTGTGGAATTTATTCAAGCGTCATTTTATACCAGGCCTGGTGTGCTTTCTAGAAATATATATTTGCTTTCTAAATTACATTGTGTCATTTTGATAGAATTAGACGAACGTGTCCTACATATAAACGAAATGAAATTGGGTTTAACGTCCTACTCTTCTGCTCCGACTGGGTTAATGAAGTGTGCTATGAAGTGTGCGAGCCAGCGTCTTACCCATTTAGCCACCGTGGCTCCGTATATACAAACACTAAAATACAGTTTGTCTGTCTCTGTATTTGAAATCTCTCTCTCTCTCCCCTCTCTCCCTCTCTCTTACTCTCTCTCCCCCTCTCTCTCCCCCTCTTTCAAACTGAGTACATTTATCCCTATAAACTAGAACTCTATAAATACAAGCTGTTAAAGTATATAAATATTATAACCGTTTAACCGTGAAGTAAAATCTGTTTAATAACTTTACAAATCATACCACAGAGACTTGCAGATCTGGATATCGACTTTCAACAAACAGCATTAAAATATACTACAGTAAAGATTAGTGGAATATATGGAAGGAAGGAGCTACGGTGTTTCAGTGACTTAGACTCGACTAATCTATTCTGGAGGTCCAGGGTTCGAACCTACCAGGGTCTAGTTATTCCGCTGGTGCGAAAAACTAATATCCCGTATGCACATTACCATGTATATAAGAGAACCCCTCAACCGGTCTCTCTCTCTCTCTCTCTCTCTCACTCGAAGAAGAAGAAGAAGAACTTTCTCGGCCAACACGCAGGGATCGAACATGTTAGCGAGCCAACGTCCTACTCACCGAGCCATCGTAGCCCCTATACTAATACAAAAAAGCTGCACACCGTGTATAAATCTGCCCCTGTTAGTCTCGAAGTTTTCATTCCTCTCTCTCTCCATTGATTGTGTGTGTTGTGGTCCTCCTCCTGGTATAATGCCAGTAAAAGAAGTTGTATATATGTTACAGTAAAACGTTAATGAACCTAACACATGTATATTATTAAACATGTTGAATATAGAACCCCTGCAGATATTCAATTATAGTCCTACTTCTCTTCTAACTTACAATATCAGGGGTTAGTTGTATCTCTTCTACCTTTACAAAGGGGGGGGGGGGTTAGCACGTGTGCGCTGTATCATAAGGTCTGTCATTTAGTCAATTGGCATGTCTAACCTCGTGGGTTTTCTCCAGATCCTCCGGTTTCCTTCCACTGCTGAAGACCCCTACGCGCAAGCGAATTATTGAAATTAAATTGAACCATGTGTTAGTCTCGAAATGACCTGGTTTGTGTCGAGTGAACGTTATACCCCAGTTCTCTCTCTCTCTCTACCGTTACAATATCTGGGTACGACGTATCGATGTTTAACGTCCATATATCACAAACTATGTAATTTCGAGAATAACACGTGCTACATTTTTATTTCAATGATTCACTTGCGCGTGGGGGTCTTTGCAATTGGAGGAAACTCGAGATCCCATAGAAAACCCACGAGATTAGACAGGTTACCCGACTTATTGTGATACAAGTGTGGGACCGAGACCACCCCACTTGGCTTTCCTCCAACTGCTATAGACCCCTACATGCAAAGGAATTATTAAAATAAAATTGAATGTTAGCCTTGAGCCAGCGCGTTACCCCGGGGTGCAGCTTTCACAATATTTCAAGAGAAATGGAGTCAAAATCTCTCATGATCTTTTTTTTTAGCTTCACTTAATTGGATATTTGTTGTTTATTTATTTTAATATCTGTGTAGTTTGTCACTTGTCAACAGGTTTGTCCTGTCAGCAGGATGGTCCTTTCAGAAAGTTTGTATTATCAGCAGACTTGTCCCGTCAGCAGGTTTGTCCTGTCAGCAGGTTTATCCTGTCAGCAGGTTTTGTCTTGTCAGCAGGTTTATCTGTCAGCAGCTTTGTATTGTCAGTAGGTTTTCCTGTCAGCAGGTTTTGTCTTTTCAGCAGTTTTGTCCTGTCAACAGGTTTGTCCTGTTAGCATGGTTGTCCTGTTAGCAGGGTTGTCATGTCAGCAGGTTGGTCCTGTCAGCAGCTTTGTATTGTTAGCAGGTTTATCCTGTCGGTATTGTTTGTTTGTGGTGTGGTTTTATTGTAATATTTAAACTCTATGGTTAGGTATTATACTGTGTGTTCTATACATAATGTAGTTTATACGATCTACTGGTTAATATATTTATCGGCCTCTTGCGTATAATTTTATCGCGGTCTGGTAGAATAACTGAGTGGAACAGCTGATATTATATCAATAGTACAGATTATTATATAGGTAAAACATAATATACGTGTAACTGTATAGGTATCTAAATATATTATCACCAAACGTCCATAACATTATATCTAATGAGCTCCCCAGATGAGCGAAAGGGTACTTTAAAATGTTAAAATGTTATTAAACCACTGTTGAAATCAATTTGTGTCGGCGTATCTTTTATCTTTTCATCTCTTACCGTGAAACAAAGTAGTGCAACTTTACGATTGTTATAATATTTTAGGATTTATATGTATATTATAATATTAAGAGCAGACAGGTTTTTTTTAATTGGAGGTATATCAGAATGAAGCAGTACAAGTGTTTCATGTTTAACTGGGCGTATTTTTACTTACTGTAAACATAGAAGTACTTGTAGTTTATCAACTTTAATGTTGTTATGATATCTGTAAGCTTATTTAGAAGATGGTGAAAGAGATATGTAACATATAAACTAGTTAAAAAAACTACCAGGTAGGCAGTCTACAAATAACTACCAGGTAGGCAGTTTACTAACAGCAGGGAAACTTACAGCATATTAAAACCATTACATGTTTTTCGTTTCGGTCTCTTAGCTTCAACTATAAACTCAAACAGTGAAATTGTTGTTTTAAAACTATTACGTCGTTTGATTCTGTTAGCTTGAAATTGTCGTGAGTGTTGTACGCGAGGTTTGGTATTCTTATGTAAGGTTCCTAATGAGGTTGGACATCTTAAACAAGGTATTACAAGAGCTTGGAAAGCAATGAGGTTGGACATCTTAAACAAGGTATTACAAGAGATTGGAAAGCAATGAGGTTGGACATCTGAAACACGGTACTACAACCGACTAGAAGGTTGCACATCTTAAACAAGGTATATTTACAAGAGAACAAGTGAAATGGCGTTCTATACAACTTTTTAGTTAAATTATGCACACTCACCGTGGTGTTATTTTAAAAGTTTTCTTTTGTGGTTTTGTGGGAAATGCGACGAGATTCGAGTTTCTAACAGTTGTGGGTTCTGGGTTCAAGGATTTACTGTTTATTTTGTTGTGGAGTGTTCCCAGGTAGAATATCGATGTTTACGGATTAAATGATAAAAATCATGTTTAGGGTAAGTTAATAATTACAGTATATTTTATAAAATAATCCGCACACAGGTACATCGACAGTCTTCAAGCCCCCAGAAGGCCATTAACCAATTTCCTTATTTCAAGATGGTGTAGGGTGGGGGTGGCATGGAACAGCCATTGGGTTGGTAAAGTCCCCATCACGCCAAACTATTTTGAGTCGCGCAGTAAAGCTGGTGAAGGATTTCTTGGATCGCGAAGGTCGCCGTCAGATCTTGGAGATTGATTCACGCACATCCAGATAGGGTGTCCTGTTGCCGTTGTCGATGGTGACGTTAATCTCTTAAGCCCCCATCACACCAAAACACGACATAACGCGACTTAAATTATTTGTTGTAAAGCTGGTAAAGGTCTTCTTGATTTGCGAATGTCGGCGTCACGTCTTGGTGAATCGAGTGCATCAACTCGACCTCTTCCCGACGAGTGACCGTGGCGGTAGAGTTCGTGCAGGACCATCTAGAGCGATCCCAGATCCAACAAGACCTTGATAGGACCTACTAGACCTAATCACGTCCCCAACACGACAAACTGGCTTCATTGCAGATACTCTGTAGAGATCCTGTCCAGATCCATCAGGGCCTCTGCCGAATAATATAAAATGATCAGAAATAGGCTTGTAGTTTCATATCGTGCCTGGATATTCAAGAGTGAATATCTTCTTGTCTTGTTGTATCGTATTGGGATCACGTTCAGTCGTGTTAAAGTCTTCTTGGATCGAGTTGACGGTGTGTTGGGGTCTCGTTTGATCGTATCAACATCGTGTAGTTACTGAGTCTGTGGGTCCCGGAAACTGGTTGAAGTGATTTCACCAAATTTGTACCGCCATTTTACGCGACCTGCTGTGAGTCTCCTTGGATCGCCAAGCTGCGTCGACCTGCACCACACCGAGCGTTGGTCTGACTGGAGATCAAAGAACAGTAGGAATTCGAAGTAAGAGCGTACCATACCACCACCACCTCATAGCACACTGTATAAGGCGTGTGTCCGTTTCAATATCCCCGTTAGAGTACAACAGTAGGACTTTAAACCCCATTTCATTTCATTTATTTTACATTAACGAAATCAAGGACTGAAATGTGCTCTTTAACTGAATGAAATAAGTTTCAGCCCGACATGAGCAACCATTCCAGCTCTCAATAACAATAAAAATGAACTACCATTCAAATGACTGGGATAACCAAGACAAGCGTACGCAATGCAATGTGCTGGGAATCGATTTTCTCCAGATACGGTGGTCTACTCTCATATCAAATTCCAACTGTCAAGGATTCCTGTACGTGCACGCCAACGTGCACACGGGAACTCGGTTTTCGTTACTTCCCAGCGACTATACACGGCATGGTCCCGCAACACTTACAACGGGACACTATGCTGGAACACCTGGATGGGATCAAGGACCTCATGTGTATTGAGCCAGCGCCATACTTGCTAAGGGAGCCACGGTGGCTCAGTGGGTAAGACGTTGGCTTACTACTCTGGAGGTTCCGTGTTCAATCGCTGCATTGGCCGAGCAAGTTCATCGGAATTTGCCTGCGTGGTCCCTCCTTATCAAGCTGTTAGTAACAATTAGAATGACCACGTGATATCTATAAATATAGGTACACTGTAACAAAAATTTCCGTGAAAAAATAATGGAAATTAGATATACATGTCAATTAATATACCAAACGTTACAAAATATGATTCTTCATATTATGGTTAATAAATTGAAATGAATACTATAACATGATGATTATTAGGAATGATTATATATGTATACGATTACTTATCGTTGCACCGTTTATCCCGTAAAACAACAGAATTAAGTCCATTACAGAACGGAATAAAACATTTTATCCCTAAATTTCACGGAACTTCCTTGTCATTCCACCGTTTATTCCGTAAAATAACAGAATTAAGTCCGTTATAGAAGGGAATAAAACACTTTATCCCTAAATTTCACGGAAATTTCCTGTTTAATACTGAATATTCCACAGAAATACATAAAACACGTAATTTGAAGAAATAATTCAGACAATTAACACAATTTCTCCAAAAAATCCATCGATTAACAGAAAAAAGGTGTTAAATTACGGAATTCGGCCACATAAAAAATGGATATTTTTTACAGTGTAGTTATGTGAAATTGAGATGGCTATAATTTACATTAACATGCATGGATTCGATCAATAAGGTATAACTTACATTAACATGCATGGATTCGATCAATAAGTTATTTGCTGTGATTACTATTTATGGTCTAAAGTTTTAGTATTTTGGTATTTTGGTCCATCGTAAAAAATAAAAATTACATCTATTCCGTTTTACGATTCTTGAACTTCAGTATAAATCATCTCTTCCCACAAGTGTTGGATTTTAGTCTGATTTGTTAAATATAAATATTATATCAAATTCACGTGGATAAAACCAGTCCAAGGTTGATATTAGCATATTATCATGAAGCTATATGATGTATCACTTAGATAAAGAGCCGATTATTTCTTTTATAATAATAGTTCAAAAATAGATAACAAAAACGAATATTGAAAATTTGATTCAAATTTCTCTATTCTGAGCGAAATTATGGGTGATTGAATCATAGATTGTTTAATAAAATAGAATTGGTACTTGACAAACTAGACTAAGTCTCGATTATTATTATAATTTATAATTTCATTTTTAAAGCGCTACATTATAACAATATTTGTTTCTATGCGCTGTACAGTCATATCTACACAATGGTAGGCACATGATTCTATTTATATGAGTTACTAAACAGACGAGTCTTCAGTTTAGATTTAAACTGAGATAGTTGGGTACACTCTCTGATGTTTCTTGGTAGTTCATTCCAAAGTTTGACACCCCTAACGGAAAATGAAAACTCGCCCACCTGGCGCTGAAAGCGTGGAACAGCTAGTAGGGTTTTGTCACGTCCTGAACGAAGATTAGTTCGGCCAGTGGTATAAACATTAAACATTTCCACCATATAATTAGGAGCTGTAATGGTTATTACTGATTTATAGGTGTTGACGAGAATTTTAAATTGTATTCTGGCTCTCATCGGTAGCCAGTGTAGCTGCTTCATATACAATCAGGTGTGATCATATTTTGAGGTTAATTTGGAAATCAAATCACTAAATGACGATGGTATTTCAATCTATTTATATCTCGACCATCCGATGGTCTAGAGAGTTGGTTATAGACGTGTCTTGTTATTAAATGTCTCAATAATAATATATATAAGATTTGAAGCTAAAATGGGCAAATTTAGCTTTTACATAATACATCATTAATATTTGGTGTATATAATAATATTGTTTTGTGTGTTGGTTTTAGCTGCCTTGTAATTGCACAGCAATCAAGTGAAATAGAGAGAGAGAGAGAGAGAGAGAGAGAGAGAGAGAGAGAGAGAGAGAGAGAGAGAGAGAGAATGGAGTTTAACGTCCACTCGACACAACTAGGTCATTTCGGGACTAACATATGGTTTAATTTTATTTCAATAATTCGCTTGCGCATAGGGGTCTTTAGAAGTGGGAGGAAACCGGAGGACCCGGAGAAAACCCACGAGGTTGGACAGGCGACCCTACTCCTTGTCACGTACAACCGGGGATCCGATCAAGTGAAATAATTCGGAATCTCAATATCTAAAAAACGGGCTGATTTTATAGGATCACCGGGCCCTAAAGACCATTTTAAAACAGTGTGTAGCATTATGTAATCATCGCGATAATCGAGTCACTATTATAATTAAAGAATGAAGTTCCTTAATTGCTAGGTTTTTCGTTCCATCTGAACGACTAGACGTTCTTCCTTGTCAGACTCTCCGTCCTGCAACCACTCACATATGGAAACTCCCGTCTTCATTAGATCAGTTGGGAGCTGAACAGTAGAACGTTAAACCCAATTTCATTTCATATGGAAACCACACTTAAAAATGCCAAGATAAGTTCTCGGGCAACTACCCTTGAATGAATTAGAGAACTGAATTGAGTGTGAATATTTTGTTTACCTGTACTGTATAGCCTACCTGTATAGTCTACCTGTATGTCTATCTGTATGTCTACCTGTATAATCGACCGGTATAGTTTACCTGTATAGTTTACCTGCATAATCTATCCTTAGCGTACCTGTATAGTTTACCTGTATATTTTATCTGCATAATCTATCTTTAGCCTACCTGTATAGTTTACCTGTATCGTTTACCGGTATAGGCTACCTGTATAGGCTACCCTCAAAGGCATAAATAGACCTATATATTAACTCGTGTAATAATGACTAACTATTGTAAGGGTGTGGTACAATGTACAATATACAATATACTTTATGACCATTTTATTATACATTATATAATTACTTTATTTTAAAAACTGTAATATAGTTTGTTTTTTATGGAAATCTAACAACTTATTATAGACCTATATTACAGCTACATCATACTCCCAGTAATGTTCCGTTTGATTAGACCTAATTCCACCCAAACACTGCCATACTCTCTCCCGAATTGGGGTCACGGTGGCTAAGTGTGTAAGAAGCTGGCTCGCTGGCCTGGAGGTCGGGTGTTCGATCCCTGCATTGGCCGAGTAGGCCGTAGTGCCGCTGTCCGGGCAAAATTTCCCTTATAGCACACTGTATGGCGTAGGCCCGTCTTCATTAGCCCAGTTCGGCGCAAAACAGTAGGACGTTAAACCCCATTTCATTTATTCATACTTTCTACCGAATTATCACTAGAAATGCATCGGTTCAACAACCAATACATAACAGCGTAACAAAATCAATCTTGATTAACCAGAGCTCTACAGATGCTAACATAAAAGTATATAAAGACAATCGTGGCTGTATTATGCCATAAAGCGCGAAATTTATAATGCTCAATTTACCACTACCAGAGAAATTAATTATGTGACAAACGAGGTATCCAAAATAGCTATAACGGCACAAGTGGAATCTTTTTATCATCTGTTGGACGAGCAGCAGACGAATAATATTTTCATCATCTTTTAATACA